AAAGAATAAATTCGTTCCCACAAGGACAGTTAAGGGATGGGGAATGCGTATATATCACCTTGATCACTCACCTGCATGATCCCTAAAGCAAATAGGCGTCAAGCTGAAGACGTTAAACAAGCGCTCCTGGGAGGCAACCCAATGTTTTAAATTTTTTTTTTCTTTTTGTAGTTTAAGTTTTTTTGTGCATTTTTCTTCCTTAGGTTCTTTCTTTGCAAGATTGCTTCAGGTACACAGTGCACTTCTCCTCAAGACTTTGAAGCCTTACTTCAATAGCCTGAGGACAGTCCAACTTTTCTGGAGGGGGTGAGAAAGTCTGCAGCTGAGGCTGAGGCACAAGATAAGGAGTACATGACAAGTGAAGAAAATGAGGGAGGAAACTTACTTTACTTTTAATGTTTTTAATTCCTTTGTTTTTAATTGCTTTATTTTAAATTTTGAATTCCCTTGTTGTCCCATAATTTGTTTTAGAGCCATATATGAAATTATTGTTTATTGTCTAGTTCAAATCTAGAACATGAAAAATAATTTTGATTGTTTCCAATAACAAGTGATTTTGGGATATTGAGTATGATAGTGAAAAGGAATTGATGAGGAAAATTAGGAATTAACTAAATTGGAGAAGCTAGCCAAAACCCAGGTAAGCAGAGTACCACAAACAGATAAATTGAGTGTCAACACTTTGTGATGATAATTGATATTGATTGATTCTTTGATGTGATTACATGTTAGCAAGACTTGAAAATGATAAAGGCATTTTTTTCTTTGTAGTAGATATAACCCAGAGCCAAATAGCCAACCATGCATTAATTATAGGACATCCATTTGAACCCCTTCTGAGCCAAAAAAATAATATTGTTTCTTAAACAGAACCCTTAAGCCTAAACACTATTTATCTACCCTCCTATATTTGAGAAAAGAAATGAGTATGAATGTCACTATTTTTCTTATTGTTGGGTATTGCTATTGTTGTCCTACAGGTAGTGTTGGGGTGTTATTGTTAAAAAAAAAATATAAAGAAAAAGGAAAAACAAAGCTTAAAAATTTGCAAAGCCAAAAAAAAAGAAAAAAGGATACATGCAAAAAAAAAAAAAGTCAAAAGAGGGGTAATAACTTATGAGATTATTAACTCATTGTCATTGTGTTAGGGACAAAAGCATAAAGTTTGAAACCTGACTTGAGAAATTGTTAATCAAGAATCATTCATATGAGTTGAATTTCTCAAATATTTTTGTATATTCCAGAAAAACCAATAATTCTTTCTTAGCACAGCCCCATTACAAGCCTCAAAAGACCTTTTGATTTAAGTCTTGTTTAACAATTGTTGATTGCTTGAAGATGATTATCAATATTGATTTGTCTAAATGAAGTGATTGAATGAGATAAACACTTACCTGTGAGAATTAGAGATGAGTATATATAACTCTATTTGAGAGATCATGCTTCTCTGAGGATAGTTGAGGACTAATTATTCTTTGTTGGTTTCTATAACTTGAATGCTTATGTGTTCTATTTTCATTTGGAGTTGTGAGCATCACCTCTGAAAATTTTCATGTTGTGGTTCTAGAAGAGAAAAAGATAATAGGTGATGATTTTGTTTTGGAAAAATTACTTTCCTTGGGACAAGCAAGATTCTAGGTTGGGGGGAGTTGTTAAGTGATAAAAAGTTGATATAATTATGCCTTGAATTGTTATGAAACCACTTAACTTATGTTAATTCTAATATATTTTTCTCCCAATATAGGATGAATTCGAGAATACCTTGATACAAAAGGAAGGAACATAATTGTCAGCATAATTAGAGTAAAATTGAAAGAAAGAAGAGCGCTTAAGCGAATAAATGATGCGATGCCCGACCCAAATTCTCTTATAAAAAGATAAGTTGTGTTTTGAGAAAAACAAGCAGTCTTGGAGAGGAAGAGGCACGACTACTATTAGGGTTTTGTCCAATCTTCATCAATTCTTCTTCATCAATTGAAGCATTGTAATGACCAACATGAGTGACTAACTTCATTCTCTTAGGATTCGGTGCACTTCCTTTGAACTCTTTTGTATCATGGTGATATTTTGATATATTAATCTATGCTTTGATGTTGTTATTCTTATCCTTTATGCTTTGGAATGATTTATTCTTGATTGTTTGAGGTATGATTGAAAAATATATCTTGAACCCTAGATCACGGTAAGAATATTTGTTACGTTAATTTCCAAGAATGGAATGAACGTATCAATTGCTTAACACCCTAACCCTAATGCTGGAAAATCTGTTAATTGTGTGAGAAATCAACATTTATTAGGTTTTCTTATGAATTTCATGTGTGAGGAATCAACATGGATGATTTGAGTAGGTGACATCAACATTGTTAAGTTAATTGACGTTCTTAATTGATTTAGCCATTACAAAAGAGGGATAAGGAAGGAAGTCAATCCTAAGTACCTTTAATTGATATTTTCTCAATAATTTACAAGTCTTTGTCATTTAATTTCAATTCAACTCTTATTTGCAAAACCTAATCTGTTTTAATCTACTTAGTAAGCATAATTGAGAATTTTCATTGAAACTGTTCCTCGTGGGATCGACTTTTATTTAATCGAAATACTATACTGCGATTGATAATTTGGTACGAAAGTTGTAGCTTATATCTAATATGAAGATAGTAGAGCTTATCGTATAATATGGTAATTTTAATAGTTATTCATCAAGTGATTTAACTTTGTTAACTATTTTAATAAAATATTCAAATTTGATCTTATACATTTTGTGTAGAAGGAAACAAATCTCCATAGCCATGTGGGTAGTTTTGACCTCTGTGCAATTCTTATAACAAAGTAAAATTTTGTTCTAGGTAGTTGCTTTAACCATTGATGGAAAATAATAATTTTTGCAAAGCAAAGTGTTAAGTTGTCTTTCATTTCTATACACCGGTAGAGAATCACATGAAATATTTGATGTGGAGATTTCAACATGTGTTTTGTAGTTGATTAATATTTGATACCATTTTGTTGAACATGACTTTGGCAAGTGATATTTTGTTATTGTAATAATTGAATGGTATTGATTTCTATGTCATGTATCAATTTTTTATTCTCAATGGTACAAAGTTATTCCTTTAGGTATACATTATGTGTGCATCCTAGAAAAGAAGACTTCCACCTCTCATGTAATGTGATGCACCTATGTCTTGTGTGGTTATTGTGTTAGTTATGTGTTTGATTACTTTTTGATAACATGATTAGATGTTTTATGGTGATGATTTAACATTATTTTAATGTAAATTTATGTCAAAAGTTTGAATGAATACGATGCTATGTTCATTTCAGCACCACCAAATATAACAAATGTCAAAATAATTGGTGATCTATTAGAGAAGTTACTCCAACTAATATTATAACTAGGGAAACTAAAGAATCTAGCAGGATTCAATGGTATTATCTGTCAACCTTGGAGAAAATATTCCTAAAGCATTGAGTATTTCTAAAATTATTAAAGTAGGCTTTTGATTTGTTCTTTTTTGGGATTGGATTTTGAGTTAATGGGCATTTTGTTCTCTTCTTTTGCCCATTTATTTTGTTTTAAAGTTGAACTTTGTAATTTATTTCTCAACTTGTGCAAATTTATGAATTTTTTAAAAGCATGTAGTATCATTAGATAAGGATTATTTGTTGTAGAATATGTTAAAAGATTATAAGAACATTAGTGGATAATTTGAGAGATGAAAAGTTGTATCATATTTTAATATGTTTCAGCTTTTTTTTATATATAAATTTATGTCATTCATTTGTATATAGATGATGTAAAATAAAATAAGGTGTAGAATTTTAAGTAATAAAGTAAGTAAACCTAAGGAAAATTCCCACTAGACATTAAGATAGTTATCTATCTAGATGTGAATGTTTATTTCTAAGAATTGTGGAGGGAGGAGAAGGAATGAAACTAGAAAAGAATAAAGACAAGAGCTGAAAAAAATGGATCAACCCCTTGGATAAGTAAATGAAGTGAAAAAATAAATAAGAAATGATGAGGAGAAGAGAAATATGGTGGTGGTGGAGTGTTGACACGCCACTAGGGGATGAGTAACCCTAGATAAGTGGTGATTGACGCCACTTAACCAATGTTCAAGATAAGACACTCCAAGAAGGAACAACATCAATATACCCAAGTTTTACAAAGATAATGATCCATAAGTCTACCTAGACTGGGAGGCTAAAGTGGATCAAATCTTTAATGTAAACCTAGTAGGGGACCAAAAATAAATAGATTTTGTTGTAGTAGAGTTTGAGAATATGTCATGACTTCATGAAGGTTTGTAACGATAATTACTAAGGGTCACCCGCGATTTATTAGATTGATATTAAATAGTTAATGGGCTCTAGATTCATTCCTTCTTACTATAAGAGGGAGCTCTTATTGAAGCTCCAACGACTTCTCTTTATATAATAGTATAAATATTATTTTTTAAAAAATTAATTTAATTAAAACTCCTCTATAATATTATTATTTTAAAAATATTTAATCTCAAAGAATAATTGAATCTTTATTTTAAATAGAGAGAATAAAAGAGTAATTATTTTAAAACACTTAATAGTTAATTAAGAGATTATTATTTTATATTTTTATCAAATAATTAATTATTTTTAATTGATAAAATTAAAAGATCTTTTCAAAGATGATATAAAAAATAATCATTTTAGAAAATGATACAATTATTTATTGATTTTTTAACTATTTTGTTTTAAATTACGATTTTATCTATAATATTTTATTAACTATTTTAGAAAAATTGAGAGTACATTAATCATTTACAAAATAAATAAAATAGAATATGCAGATAAGTTAGATGTTATATATATATATATATATATATATATATATATATATATATATATATATATATATATATATATATATATATATATATATATATATATATATATATATTATAAATGATAAGTTAAAGAAGATATAAACAGCATAGGTGTAACAGTAACAACATTGGACAATGGCGACGGAGACAGAATCACCAGACTCTGAGTCACACCCAGCACCCGATCACTTCTCCAAAACCAACAACCCTGAAACCATCAATGAAACGAGGACGCCGTTTGCTGATTACGCTGTTGCCCAGGCCCAGCTTTACCACCAGGCCTTCAACGAAGTCCTGGATTCAACAATTGATGCTGCAAAATTCCGTTTTTCCCAAATTCGTTCTACGTCTTCTGCTCATTTTAACCAGACCTTGGTAAAAATCTCTATCTGTTTCCCGAGAAAATTTTCTAGTGGAAAATAAGTGAGAATGAGAAAAACAATGAACAATTTGATTCGCCATTACCTAGTTCGATGGCATCGCTTATTCCTTTGGTTTGTCCGGTTATTCCCAACAATTTTCGTTATCTCATCAGCATGATTTTGATTTCTGTTGATTTAGGATTCTTTGGATGACTTCAAGTCTCAGTACAATGCTTATGAGGATCTTTTGTTTGAAAAAATAAAAGGTTTGTTTTGTGGTTTTATTTTTCTAGCGATGGGTTTCTTCCCAATTTGTGAAGTTTCTAATGTTTAGGGTTATGTGGTTGATCTTTTATGGCAGAGGGTGTACTTGTTGCAGCTTCACATCCGGTGATTACATGTGGTGCTGCTGCTTCCCTGGGGCTTTTGGTACTTAAGAGTGAGATCCTTTGTCTTTTACTACTGAACGATCACTTTAATTCTTGATCAGGGTGTTTCCTCCTTTAAATTCTTTTATCAGTTCGTCAAATTATAGTGTCCTAATTTGTCCTGTAACATTTCTTATGTTAAATTTGGTGACGATTTTGTGTTTGAGGGACTAATTTGGTGCAAAAAGTCATTGGAGGAATAATATCTGTGATTAATTTTGCTACAACAATATTTGGACGTGGCAACCCCTTAGTCTTTTGGGGTACTAAATTGAGGGTTTACTCTTGATTTTAAAGTTGATAGTATGTGATCTGAAAAAATGTTACTGACCTTTGTCGATATGTTCAAGATGTAAATAGAAGATTATTATTTTTTTCCACATTTGTTATCTTGTAGGGCCTCGTCGGGTCTTGTACTACAACACTTTGCGCCTTTTTGTCAGTGAAGAGGTGAGTACTGACCTCATTATATTTGTTAACTTCTCTGGGTCAAAGATGCAGGATTTTAAGTTAATTAATGATGAAATGTATGAGTATATAAAAGGGGTCTGAACACACTCCATTTGTATGCTTTGTTAGATGTATCATCTCTTGAAAAAATGCCAGTGAATATAGATTTTAAATTTATTGTATCTTGTGTTGACTTGTCATATGGAGGCAGGGAGAAAAGTCAGTCAATCCTTAAAACAAGGACTTAAAAAGTTAGTCAATCATTAATTGTAGATTATATGCAGAAATAGTAGAACTTTGATTTCTAATGTACAAATTCACATAGTATTATGATAAGCACCCAGGCACTTGGGTTGGGGAACTCGCCCTCAAAAGCTAGTTTGAAGGGGGGAGAATCAAACAGTTAAATACTCCACTGAGCACCCATACTACTTGATGTGGGACTTAGGCACCCCATAGTACCCAAGTCTCGGAAGGTTTCACTCTATGACAGTTTACTCACTGACACTTCACTCAATTACGTTGGTCAGAACCCTCAATAGGTAGTTCTTTCTAAGACATTGACAATCAACTTTGATTCCAATTGATGCATCCAAGCACTTGGGGAACCCACCCTCAAAACCTGAGACTTAGGCGCCCATAATACCCTACTCCCTATCATAGCTCTACCACTTAGAGTTTAGGTTTTGGCAGCTTTCAGTCTAGGTTGCCTTACTCGGTAATAAGTCACTTAAAATTCCTCATTGGTAAGAGCCCTTTGTAGGTAGTCCTTTATTGAGACATTGACAATCAATTCTAATATCAATTGAGAAGCACCCAAGCACTTGGGGAGTTCACCCACAGTAGCTATATTAAGGGGGAAGATGGGATCTCCCACACTACTCGAATAATGCTTAAGTCATTATCTTATTAATATAAATATTAGTATCAATTGAAGTGGACATCAATGTGAGTTGTGAATTATAATACTTATGGGTCTAACTTAACCTTACAATACTGACTTATAAGGTGAGATTTGCATCTCACTTAGATACTATAATTTCGTCATATATCTAGTTGATGTAGGATTTTTAATACACCCTCTTATGGAGAGGATTGGATATCTTGAGTAGACATGACAATAGGGTGGCTTGAGGACAAGTTTTAAATTAAAGATCGGTTAAGAAAATGGAACTATGTATTACTAAGATCGATGCATAATGTTTAGAAAATGATAAAGAAGCAAATAATTAACCCGATGTGTTCGCTAAATTAGTTGAAGAGATTGAGGAAGGTGAAGGAGTGAAGGGTGAGAGAAGAGAAGAATATATTGAGTTAGTTGAAGAAATTGGGGAAGGTGAATATGGGAAGGGTGAGAGAAAAGAGAAGAAGATAATGTGTAATGTGAAGAGAAATAGAGACATTGGGGAGAGAGTTAATAGTTTAGGGTGTAGATTTAAATATAAAGTCGAAACGGAAATTGCATTATACATCCTCGACCTGATCTCGATTCTCAAAGCAGAGGAAACTCAAACCTGATTAACTCAGTTTTTCCTCCTCAACCTTAGGGCAATTGCGGGTTTGATTGTCATCCTTAATTTTGAGTGCTAGAGTAGATATTTTGTGGGATTTGCTATGTACTCTTTTACATTGAGGATATGAGTGGTTGGTACAAAGGTTCGAATAAACATCGTTAGGATGAACTTTAATACTGCATTAGTGATATGAATCACAAGGGGTGATTTAGGATCTTTAAGGTTAGAACCTTGTAGGAAATTTAGTAATTTAGTGATAAGGTGGAAGGAAAGAATCACTCTTTCCAAGGAAGGCAACACACAAAGAATGTGAAAGTCCTTTGAAATAGCCAAATATTCTTGAATCACTCAAGAACTTAGGAGAATCACTCTCACTAAGATAAAAGAGATAAACTCTAATATTTCTGAATAAAATTCAACTTATTATTTCTGATAAAAATGGTTCAGCTTATAAAGAAGTCTTGCCATCAGAGTTACAAATATTCATTAAAGAAAAATAAATGTTAATAATGATTTATTAACCTAGGAATTGAAAACTACTTAATGATTGATTGTAACTGAAATTGTGGCATCTAAAAGTCAATCAGCTATGCACCCTCTTGGTCTCCCAAAGACTGCTAACTAAATTTCCAATTGAACCCTTATTACAACTTGCAATAAAACTAAACTAAAGTCCATTAATTGATTAATCCAAAACACAATTTGGTCAACCAACAATACTTGTTGAAGAGCTTCTTTTGTTTCCCTTGCTCTAGCCCTTATCATAGGTCATGTTCACATCATTCTCTCCCTCTTGAAAAGGATTTGTCCTCAAATCGGATTCGTCATCTACATTAAAAAGAGATAAGTCTGACAAATTAAATGTAGAATAAACATTATACTCACTTTTTATGGTTAAATAACTCTGTTTCACTTCAAGTATTTCGCTCTTCTTCTTTTTTTCTCTCTTTTCTTGAAGAAAATTTTCTCTCATTCTCTTTTTATCCTCCTCTGCCATTAATTTGATGTTCAAACCTTTAAATCGGGGCTCTGATACCAACTGATATGAATCACAAGGGGTGATTTAGGATCTTTAAGGTTAGAACCTTGTAGGAAATTTAGTAATTTAGTGATAAGGTGGAAGGAAAGAATCACTCTTTCCAAGGAAGGCAACACACAAAGGATGTGAAAGTCCTTTGATACAGCCAAATATTCTTGAATCATTCAAGAACTTAGGAGAATCACTCTCACTAAGATAAAAGAGATAAACTCTAATATTTCTGAATAAAATTTAACTTGTTATTTATGATAAAAATGGTTCGGCTTATAAAGAAGTCTTGCCATCAGAGTTACAAATATTCATTAAAGAAAAATAAATGCTAATAATGATTTATTAACCTAGGAATTGAAAACTACTTAATGATTGATTGTAACTCGAAATTGTGGCATCCAAAAGTCAATCAGCCTATGCACCCTCTTGGTCTCCCAAAGACTCGATAACTAAATTTCCAATTGAACCCTTATTACAACTTGCAATAAAACTAAACTAAAGTCCATTAATTGATTAATCCAAAACACAATTTGGTCAACCAACAATACTTGTTGAAGAGCTTCTTTTGTTTCCCTTGCTCTAGCCCTTATCATAGGTCATGTTCACATCAATTAGGAAGTGAGTGTGGGTGTAACTCAATCCTACAATTGTAAGGTGAGGTTTGCGCATCACTTTTATACTATAATTTAGTTATGTCTTTAGATGATGTGTGATTTGTAACACATGAATGTTTTTAAACTCATTCTTTTTTCTTAGTTGTGAGAAATGCTTGCAATTTGTTCACCATATTCCAATGAATTTGTGTTTAATATGAAGTGCATGTGCTTTAGAGAGGATTCTGATGTATTGTAATTACTTAGTGAATACTATCTACAACTTGGATATTTAATTATTTTGTAGTGTCAAGTGGGCACAAATGTCATATCTGAACTCCATAGCAAATTGAACTAGGCCAAAATAATTCTATTATTAGAAACAAAGTTAAGTTGCAACTCACAGCATTTGATTATCTAATTGTCTATGTTAATAGTTACAAAATCGTGTGAGGACAACAACTATTAGAAACAAATATAGACATGGATTAGCTCCCCTTCAAACTTAGGATGGGCACATGTCATAAGTGAAAAAACTGATCAAACACTTTAAGTTTTGTTCTAACAACGTGGAATGAAGACTTAGTTAGGGCATCATCTATCCAGTCTTGAGCTGGAACTTGTGTTGATTAAAATCTTGCTAAAATAACTTCCTCTCAAGCTTGGTGGCAAGTTCCACTGGTGTTATCAAGTGGTAGTTATGGGGTGACACGTTGGAATGTTATCACGTAGAAATTGAATCTTAATCCTCATCCTAATTGGTTTTCGGGTTTTCTTACGCTGTCCCCGTTTTATGCTATTTCTAAGAAAGTAATTATACATAAATTTTAATTAATTAATTTCAACGTAATTCTTTTATTTTTTTTATGTATTGTTTCTTATACATAAATAAATAATTTTAATTTTATAATTTTTAAATTATTATTATTGTTTGAGTATATATTTTAATTCATTATATTTATATTAAAATATGTATGTAAAAAAATGTTTGATTGCTTTTTTTTTCTTGGAATGGAATACTCATAACATTGTTATTATTATATACTATAACACTATACTAAAATTTTTGATCATTGAAGATAAGAGACACACTCATATGATGGAATATTATGTGAATGCTGGATCTAGTGCTGAAACAGAGTATAGGGCAGTGACATATCTCATTTGTGAACTTATATGGATTAAACAATTCCTCTACTAGTCATATTATGTGAATTTCAACAAATGAGAATGAATTGTAATAATCATGCAGGCAACTATTTACATTACTTTTAATCTTGTATTTCATAAAATAGAAATTGACGGTCATTTTAGTTGAGGAAAGTTACTATACAAGGAAATCTCTACAACATTTGTTAGCTCCAATGATTAGCTTGCAGATCTCTTTAATTAAATCCTTGAGGGGACCTCAAATTCAATTTATTAGTTCCAAGCTTAGTACACACAATTTGTATACACCAACTTGAGGGATATTATTAGAATAGATTATTTAATTAGATAACTTGTTCAGATAGGTTAATTGATCTTTATTAGAAGTTGTTTTTTCTTATTAGCTACTGGCACCTAGGTGTAGCCTTTAATATGTGCACTTTGTAATAATTGCTTTTTCTCCTATAAATAAATGGATCTTCCAAGAGATAATTAATGTCTAGAGCTCCTTTATCGTATTGTTTAGTCTTAAGTGTTTGTAACTTGCAATGCACCGATTATATTGAGCAATATTATCCCCCACCTATTTGGTTTATGGCTAACAATGAAAGAATTTTGATTTTGAAAGAAGTAAATGATAGTCAATTTGAAAAATGATAAAAAGCTTAAAAACAAAGTGAAATGTAGGGAGTATTGTCTTAGAATACTTAATAATGGTTTTATATTAATTAGGAATCAAATTAAGGATATTTTAGTAAGTTGCTCCTTAATAAATATGAATTTGTTCAAATAATTGTTTTTCTTAATCTGTGTGAAAAAAACTTAAACATCAATAATATGATATGGAGGTAGTATTTAACTATTGTTACAGATTACTCTATCTTTTCCATCTTTAAATTTCTTTGAAGTTTGAAGTAATGTGTTGCTAACATAATGTTGTCAATCATCATACAATGTGATGATGGAAAATTACCTATGATGTTGATGTAGATTCTAGCATTCATTCTTTTCTACATTGGTGTTTAGATACTGATTTCTCCTTTGGAATGACGCATGGATTTTGCTTTATGCACAATCGTGATAAGCATGTGTTGAAGATCATGCAAAGCTGTGTAATAGCCTTGATTATATCTTTAGCATTTGTTTCTGGATGCAGTCCATGATTTCTAGAGCCCATGCTGAAGTTAAAGAGTTGCATCAATCAATTCAGCTGTTAAAGGCTGAAGGTGAAAAGTTGGAGGTAAAACAATATCTCATTTGCTACGGAAGTAGTTTTATAGAGCTTGTAATATTTAATTTTCAATTATTTCATGCATTAGCAGTTTCTATGATAGCTGAAAAGCCATAGAAAAAAATCATTAACCCTTGAAATATTTGGAGTTAAAAGAATGGTCAAAAGGTATATGAAAGATTAAACACCATGAGCTGAAGGCTGGTTTCCAGTTAAACACCATTGTGATGCTTTCCTGCCATGGAAATGAGAACCCATTTGCCACTGCAGTTAAGCTCATGTCTGACAACTTGGATGGTGGTGGGGATGTGGGTGAAGTCTGTGTAACAATAATCGCCAAGACTGCCTTTGACTTTCTTCCTTCTGTGTTGGCTCCATTTCTAAGCTTGATGGTTGAATCTTCATCTTGCATCTTGAGCAAGTCTACTACTCGGTCATCAAGCAGAAAATGGCCTTTGCAACCCACATTCTTCACCATTCACATACGACAGAAATATTCATTTTCAATGTCTTTCCTCCTCTTCATGGAAATATCAACTTCTTTCTCCCTAACTTCTTTAATCTCTATCTCAGTTGTTAATTTTCCTTAACCATTTTTGGTTTATTCTCCAACACAAAGGGTGTGGTTCTTGATTACTAAACCTTCAAAAGTCAGTAATTCAACTTTCTTTGCCCAAGAACAAGAAAGAAAGTCATGTTCTTCTTAAAATCCCCTGTTCTTCCCCTCTTCTTCTGGTTATTTCTCACCTTTATTAACAGAATTTCTCCCCTCAACAACAGATGATGGTTTCCTGTTTTTCATCTGAAATAGAGAATTTTTTAGATGTAAACCATATATGTTTTTAATTTTGTCAGGTGTAGACCTTGTTCAGCTAGGTGCAGGCCTTGCTCAGTAACAACTTTCTCTAATTCTCGCACCCGGTTCTCCATCATAATTGGCAATTGTACCAATTTGTTAGGAACCAATAGTTGAAAATAAAAAAGGAAAGATTTTTATTAAATAGCAGAGAACAAAAAATAGGGGGGATCTCTCCTTCAAGGATTTCCCTTCACAAAATATTTCTCTTTTCTCAGAGTCAATGCTCAATTTACATTAACAACAAATTTGCATGTCTCCAATCATTCTTCCCCAATTTATTTGTAACTAACCCCTCTAACTAATTGACTAGCCCAATAATATTCTAACTATCTGAACAAACTTCTTATTATATGCTAACAGCTGTCCCATGATGCTCTTACATTTTTTGAGTATCTGGACTTCAAGAATGAAGAGAATGGATAATTTTATTGATGTTACTGATAGTGGATACGTAGGAGGTGGATTTTCTTGAACATGAAACGTCTTTGATTGGTGCACTATCTGAATATAAATTAGTTAATTTAGATCATTTACTATGTTATTTTTAATACGTTGGAACTATCTGAATATAAATTAGGTAATAAAGATTTTTTACTGTTATTTTTAACACAGGACAGGTAATGTGACGTGAAATTGCTTTTGTGATTATGAATTGTTCATTTCAACTAAAACAATGAATATATAACTTTTGTGTTGTTGTTGAATATATTGTAAATTTTACTGATTTTTAATTTTACTTAATTTGATGCAATTTGACTAGGGATTTAGTAGTGACTCATCGACCTAGTACTTTGACTAGATAAATGATCAAATTCTTGTAACTACATAACAAATGTGATTTAGAGATTGTTATAGCGCTAATGACTTTACACTTTCCCTTTTATGTCATTGGGTTGGGTTGGCCTACTATGAATTTGAGATAACCTATTAGGCAAGGGTATGGACTAACCAAACAGACTTTAAAAGTATATGTTAGACGAATGAATACGAGGGGAGATAAGTGGGTGTTGGATATTTCACGGGGTTAATTAACCCACAGGTAAAAATAACCCTCTTGGTCCAGCAGGGAGGGTTATCTCTCTATTTTGTGTGATAGACTGGAAAATCCAGTGTCGATGGAGAGTGCTCCTTTGGGTACAATTGTGTACTTTTCTTTTGTTCTTTCTTGCAGTAAAAATTACCTTGGAAATACTTGACTCTTTGGTTTAAAGAAAGGATCATAAAATAATCTCTTCACTTTGATTGCTATTTTTTATTCAAATATTCTTGTATTTTGTTATACTTGTTTTCAGAAGAGTGCATTACATGCGGAAGAGCAATTCTTACATGGAAGGACAAAACTCAGGTTCGTAACTCACGGATGATGAGCCATGACATTGATTTGTTATTCATGCATTGATAACAGTAATTTATTAATATTTATAATTTATAATAACAGACAAGCAGGAAAACAGATCCGAAATGTAATTAACTCAGCATACAAAATTGAAACACGAGCACAAGGTAAGCAAATTATAGTAATATATTTTATAAGAATACCAACATAATAAGTTGGTAATTGGACCTAGTGCTTTTGAGTTTTTAATGATTTGGCTTGTTTTTTGGTATGCTAGGTTTGAAAGATATCCTTGGAGAATTCCCTAAAAGGGAAGCATCTCTTTTTCGATCACAGGTAATTATTCTGTTGGCAGAATCCCGTGTCTCATTGTTTAGGTTTAGATGAAAGTTTTCAAGAGCTTATTAGCCCATGAAATGGCATTGTCAAAAATGTAAATTTTTTTACTTTTCTTTAAACATTCTTAAACGTGAAATGATTGTAGCTATAATATATAATAATTTAATGCACACTTACTAGACCCAATCAAGGGATTAACTTATTTAGATCTGTTGAGCTTTATCCGAATGTTATTTTCTTTTTAAAATTGAATACTTGCACATATTTAAATTAAAAGAATGCTGTAAATAACTAACCTAATCCCAAAATCATGGGATTTACTTGTATAGATTTGTGATGTAAATCCAAGCTGAGAGACAATCTTGAAACATTTTTCTCCATCATATTTTGATTCTTAAGTTGATATCAAAGCCCGCATTCTGTTGGCTTTAGCATTACAAAAGCACAAAGCCCCTCTAGCTGCCAGTCTAACTGTCCAAGTCACTATTGAAGTCGGTTTAGTATTGGTGTTAGTTGTCTTAGTCAACCAAGGATCTCCAATTGACTAACGTATTGTGCATTGTCAGTCTTCATTTAATAATGAGACCTCATGTATGTTTTTGCACCGAACTTCTCCAGCATGTGCTCCTCTGGTGCTGTTTCCGTTGCTTATGTCATAGATCTCATTGTTGATTCCAATCTGTTTGCCAGAGCCGGAGTATCCGTTGCTCATGTCCTCACATGAACCCTTTTTTGTTTTTTTTGGGCCTCCATAGCTTCTAAATTTGAGTTGTTTGGCTCCATCTTGTTTGTTACCTTGTATGGGTTAGAGATTTGAAAGGGAGGGGAAGGGAAATGAAGGAGGAGCTAAAATCCCTCCCTATTTTTTTTTCTCACCCCTAATAGTGGAGGAACTGAAGGGAATAGAAACTGGTTTATAATTTTTGAACAGTGTATTGTAGATTGTATTGAGATTATATTTCTATCCTCTATTGCAGTTTATGAACTATGAACTATTGGTATATAACAGAAATAATGAAATAACGTGCTTATTTTCATAGGTTCATTTAATTTTTTATTGGAATCCTTCAGTGTAAGGATTGGTTTGCATCCAATTTTCCCAGTTTCAGTCAATTAGTCAGTCACATTTTTCTGTTGATATATTAAGATCACTTGGTTGGAATATGCTACCTCAATTCCAAGAAAATAATTCAATTTCAGTTCCCCCGACCCCTATTTGCAGCTGAATGTTTAACGAAGAGGTGTGTTCTTGACTTTTTCTATAGCCAAACTCCCTCATAGTTTTTGCAAACCTTCCAAACCATGCTTCAGCATTGGTCATAAAGAGCTTTTTGTAGCCTGCACATAATTTTTTCCAATCTCTCAAAACCTGATAGAATGTTCATATTGATTTCCTTATCTAGATCTGCATGGTGAAAAACATTTTTGACATGACATTGGAGGAGCTGCCAGCTTTAATGCATAGCTTAGAAGAGAAGAATTCTTATAGTATTCATTTTCACAACAGAGGCAAAACTCTCTAATAATTATTCCCAAAAGCTTAGGTTTAAATTTAGGGTTTAGGATCCTTAAAAGATAAAGTGTAGGTGTATCCCTTGACCACAACCTTGCCTTGTATCTCTCCAAATACTCAACAGCTTTGTGTTTTAAGATGAAGATCCATTTGTGGCGAACAATATTCTTCCTTTTGGGTTTATCAACAATTTCCTATATATTGTTTTTCTCCAAGGCTTTAGAAACATCGTTAGCGATGACTATAGAATTGAAACTTCACTTTTCTGAAGGAATCTGAGTGTATTCTGGTGTTGCCTAACTGATGCCTTAGTAAACTTATTCCTCCTTCCTTGGTCTCTCATGTGTTAGCACCTTTCACTCCCTGGCCTCTCATCACTTGTCATTGCTATTCATACTTCGTGTTGAAGGAGCACCCTATAGAAAAATTAGTTGACTTATATCTTGTTCCAGTGTCTCCACTTACTTTGATCCTGCTTGAATTTTTTGTTTATCGTCTATAAGGCTGCATAAAGGTATACCTAACACTCACCCGATTTATAGTTTCATAGATTATAATTGTTTTTCCTCCCATTGTGCTCTTATTTCCATTTTATCCTCTGTAACTATTTCAAGACTGTTTAGGAAACTTTTTTACATCTATAGGATGGAAACAGGTTTTGATTGATGATACGACAATCATAGAATCCAACCACTCTTGGGTTTGTCCCCTCCCCTCTAGGACACCTATAGATGGCCGTATCTAAGTCTTTATTGTCAATGTTAATCTAGTGCCTGGATAGGTTGTTCAAAAGCACTAATTGTGGCTTGGTTTACATTGTTTATTGTATCTTTTTTGAATATTCTCATGTACCAAACCAAATGGGTATTGGTGTGTGTTGTGGAAAACCGTTTATGACAGAAAAAAATACACAAAGAAGAATATCGATCTGTGAGAAAAGAATAAAACTGAAGAGAAGATTTTTCCAAGAATTCTGTCTATACACATTTGAGAGAGAAAGAATTATTGGAAAAATCTGCTTTTTTTAACTCACCTGTAGATATTCTTTCTATGTAATTTTTTGTCATAAACGTTTTTTCACAACAGTGTTATTCAACTTCCATAATTTTTACATGTATTCGTGTCACCTTCCAAGATAATCGCTACTGCACTTCTCTGGTGGAATCAGACTTGGTCTTACTTGCCTATTTCTTGTCTTGTCTTGTCCTTCCACCTTTGTTCTTAATTTACACGTGCTTCGTAATGGATGTTATATTTCCCGATAATGTTTTGTAATATAAAAGGATTGTTGCCTTGAACATGGCTCGATCCCCTGGCTTCGTTATCTTAGCTTGTGTGCTTCTTGTTTGGTCCAATCGAGATACTTAGTAGACAAGTGTTTGAGCTTCAGTCTGGTTTACGTTCAAAATTTGGAATAATAACTTTGGTTAAAAAATTAACTAATACTCTGCTGTCACGTTGACGACTTTCCATCAGTTGTATTTAATGTAACAAATTTCCTTATGTGGAGCATTGCAAGTTTTAACAGCTATTATAATATTAACATTGATTTAAACTTTTTACTTGTCTGGTTGATAGGTTTCCCAACTTACTTCTGAGGCAAAGAAAGAAAAAAGTACCTTGACCAAGGAGATCTCCAAAATTAGCAACTATGGCATCTCGGTTTGAGAGACTCTGCTTCGGCATTCTATAATTTATATGCATCTGAGTTTTCTGATCAAGAGCATTGTGTCTGGTGATCTTTCCAGCTTTACCAGGACTAACAAAATTCTGTTGTTATTATTATATACGTAATATTTTAAATTCCTTCGGTTTGCGAAGTTTGCCTGAGAGGAAGGCATCATGGCCAGAGTAAGAGAATGTGAAGGAAAAAGCATCGAGTGACATAACTTCACGGAAATGAGTTTTTGTTTGGTCTCTTCACAATTTATAAACTTCAATAGCTACGGTAACATTTTATTACAGCACATCGGTGTGACCCATTTTACACACACATATATAAAATATAAAGTAACACGCCTCTTCGTAATTTTTTTCAACACACGTGAATGTAGTCTTTGAAAGACAGAAAAATACATGCTATATGTCCCAACTCATTGTCTTTGGTCATAATTTTTACCATAACTCAATCTTAAAAGTAGAGAATCATGATGCGCGTATCCATCGCAGCGATTAACATATAAGAAAACAAAGAGAGTTAATCATTGATGCCATAAAAATATCGTCTATTAAACAATTGATTATAGCTAAAAGGACAACCTAGTGTTTTTCTAGTTATACAAGTATTATCCTATTGATTTTGGTCGTAACCTTTTTGAAGCCCTAGTTCTAGATAATTATTTCTATTTCACATTACAATGATATATTCAGTCTCAAATTTCTTAATAGCAATATAGGGTAACAACATTCATATCTCACATGTAGGTAAGTAACAAAGACAGTATAAGTATACCATATATCATTACACAATTCTATAATTTTATATAGCTCAAAAGAAAACAATAAATCATCTAATATGAATTTGTGTAATTTTGCACAACAATAACAAAATTATTAAATGATTTTTAATTACCTTAATTGTTATTTCTTATTTTATCACAACTCTTAAAATTTTTTAATTCAATCAACCTGAATACCAAACTGGAAGATCTTATCCGTTTTTGTAATATAACTTACTAATTTATTGGTAGGAACGAGCACGTGCTTCAACTTTTCTTTTTCTTTCCCAATTACGGAAACTATAAAGAGTGAAACAATATAATTATTTTACGAATTTCATAGTAAAAACAAAAACATCAAATTCGCGACAAATATTAGTGTTATATATACGCGACTATATAAAAGGAAAGTCGCAAAATTTATACGTTGTTCGATGTAGTAGATTATAGTAAATATTATATAATATTTATTTATATATGTAAAAAAATGATAGAATTTTTTTAATTAACATATTTCTTTTTCTTTTAGTATTATTGTTATTATAATAAAAAATTAAAAAATTATATTAACAAATATATTAATATAATAAATGAAATTATTAATAATAAATAAACTTATTTGACTTTTTATTTATTTTTCATTTTTTAATCTAAAATAATTCTATTTTTCATTCTCTCTTTATTTCTTTTCTTTTCTTTTTTTCTCATTTTCTAAAATTCACTCGTCAAAATAAAACAAATGAACTTGAATAACTTCAACTTTTAATACACTCAGGGTCTACAGATTTTTCTTTCATAAAAGCATTCAAATAAATTAAGAAAATTTTCTTTTTATGAAGAACATTCAAAACCTACAAGGAAAGTTTCCATTTTCAGGAGTGTTTTTTTTTTTTTTTTTTAATATAGTAGCCGAAGTTATTTTTTCATAGGTTTTTACCGCAGATCATTAAGACATATAAGAACATCATTGTATTTGTTTGCAAATATATTTGCATTTTGTCCCCAGGAAATTTAAAACTGAATCATATTTTTCCCGAACACCCGCACAATTGGCAAAACGTTCATCAAATTGTTGTATTTTTGTAAAAATAGTATAACTTCCTAAAAATTTATGACACTTTTTTCCTAAGGATCTCCGCTGCATGTTTAGTGTTATGTAAATATTTTAGATAATGAAAACATAGAAAATTACAAAAAATTGACTCATTTCATTGGCTTTCCTAGAACATCATATTTGCATAGGTTTGGAGATATGTAAACTTTCTTAAAAGCAAACAATTTTGTATGTGTAATATGGTGCTCACCTTATACGAAGCAAAACTAGTCTCACCATCTTTAGTGCTTTGATTAGTAAGAAATAAATAAAAAGTGAGACTTGAGGCCAAATTTTAATACAACTTTCATATTTTTTTTCCCAATATCTTAAAATAACTCTTGATGTCGGATTTTTGGGAAAATATAGGTAAAGTTTATCCTTAATATACTAATCCAAACAACCATATTTAATAATTTTAAAAATAGTATTTTTTTCTGTTTTATTTATTGTAAGCTAAATACCTTAAATATCTATAAGATTTTGTCGTATTAGAATACTAAAATCTCATCATCTTCTTAATTTATTACAATAAATTTATAAAGAACATAATTATCTAATTGTCACAATTTTACTCATAATATTTGTATTATAAACTAATCACAATTAATTAGGTTACAATTTGTTAGATCAAGATTTAAATTTTAATTCACAGTGAAACTAAAGAGGGTCTCAAAATGATAGGGATTATAGGCATGATGAACTACCAATTTTTTAATTCCTAATATAATAAATAAATAAATAATTTAAAAATATTAATTGAAAATTTATAAAAAATAATTGACTTTGAGTAATTAACTTAAATCAAATAGGCTTGATTTCAAGGATAAAATATCAACCTGTTTATGCTTCGAATGTTTGAAGTTGAATTTTTGCTATAATATTGAAAGAAAAGTGGGTACAATTATTTCTTTATTTCTCCAACTTTACTTCACAAGTAAATGGATCAATTTTTTCATAACAAGATCTTAATGTTTCTAACTTCATCTTTGGGTCTGAAATTACACCAAATGCAAGTACATATGCATTTTATCCTCAAATTTTCAACCATATCCCTTACAACTTCATCTTCATCTTTTACACTTTCCATTAAAAGACACTAAATTTTCCAAACTTGTAAAAAATACATATTAGAAGTAGAATAATTTGTAACATAAACTAAAGTAGTTATATTATAAAATGACAACAAGAAATACTGCTCCTTTTTGTTCTTTTCCATTCTTTTTCAAAAGGACAATACTTATAATTTTCATTCATTAGTTATAAGTTTACAAAAACATGTTGTTAAGAGCACTTTGAAGCATCAGATAAGTTAAATTCCACCTTGTAGAACAGAACCCACTTAAAATATCAATGTCACCAAAATTTTGAAGGCATTATTTGAATTTAATCATTCTACTCTTTGAATCCTTAGCATATTTAATGTTCTCCCTAATTTGATCCAATGCATTATCAAGTACCTTCAATCCTTCTTGAACAATCAAATTTAAAATGTGTGTACAAGTGAAAGAATTTACTATCAGATATCAACCAATTTTGTAAAACAATTTGAATTTTTAATGTCTTTTGCAAAACATCATTACTAAAAGCATTATCCAAAGTAATAACAAAAAGTATTTTTCTCTATTCCCTAATCATGCAAAATTCATTTATCTTCTTAGACAACTTAAATCCAGTATGAGGTGGAGGAAAATGAAAAAAAGTTAAGAATCTTGCTACTAAACTTCTAATTTAAATCAACATAACAAGTTGTCAAACTTATATAACATTTAGTAGAACAAGATGGCCATAAATAAGAAGTTAAACAAATCCTATTACAAATGGTAGTCAACTCTTCTTTAACTATATTCATTTCTTTCATAAATATTCTCAATACATCAATATTAGTAGTATTCCTAAAAACTAACATTGCATCAAGATTCAAATAATTTATCCAAAGTCTTAAGCTTTGGATACTCAACAAATTTAAAAAGTAAATCATGTCGGATAATTAAATTAACACACAACTCATGAAACACCATTTGATATGTTTTTTTTTTCAACGTAAACATCTCTTAGCATGTCTAAAATCATTTTACCCCCATCTTTAGTTTTAATATTGTCACATTTTTCAATATGACGCTTTAAGTGAGAAGTTCTGTATCTTTTGCCACTAATTACATATTTTGTGTTACAACCATTACCCATATCAATCTTAGTAAAAACTTATAACAAACAAATGTTTTAGATTTATCCCTTTTTATGTCTAACTTAACATTTTCAGATTCATCGCTTTTTTAAACATGTTGAAACTTAACCTCATTCTCAATTTCATGCTCATTGAAAACATCATCAAGACCACAAGTAGGTTTACTTATTGAATCATTCATTTCTATTATTGTCCAATTCTGTTTAAAATTAAAAAAAAAACTTTATAATTTTTTCTTAGTCAGAGATTTCAACCAAAGCACAAATAATGAAAAACATAATAATAAGTGAGTCATAAGAGAGAAAAATACTAAGAGAAAACAATGAAACCCTAAGAAAGAGCAATTAACAAAGATAAAAGAGAGAGAAAAGTACGAGGTATATCTAATTTTTACCTTTCGGACAACGAAGAAAGGTGAGCAAGGAGGAGAGGAGCTTGTACTTGAGAAAGAATAGTGTTTCCTATAATGCGTGAGAGTGATACATTTTAAATTCTTTTTTCACATATTTTCACCTTATATGTTATCTTTGTGACTAATTCTATTATACTAAAAATAACTTTTTTTATCAATTAAGCGGGTCATGGGTTGACCTTTGTCTCACGAGTTAGCCCGACAGGTTGGCTCGCTTGGCGAGACGGCCGACAGATCGAAAATACCAAGTATAGTTTACATGATATGACATTTGGAATGCCAACTTTTAAGATTTTTGTTTGATATAAAAATCAAATCTATGATTTTTTATGATAACAAATTTAATTAAATTTTAAAATATTTAACATGGGTGTTAACTGTGTCATAAGAAATATGTTGATAAACATGTCATCATCTAGTGCTCATTATACCAAACCAATTGGGTATTAAATGCTCTATGATTATAAGTTGAATAAATCAAAATATGAAAAATAAAAGAAATCTCATAAAAGAATATACGTGCAACAAGCATAATTC